GTTAGAAGCCTGAGACTAAAACGGAAACCGGAACGGGATAGCAATTAGCCGTAAAGGGAAGGGAGGCGAGTCTGCCTCCCGTTTACTGGAACGGGGCAGATGCCCCCGGTCTTAACCCCTAAGTGGGACGCCAGGACACCTGTCCCGCTACAGTAGCTGTTACTTACCAGGACACCTGTCCCGCTACAGTAGCTGTTACTTACCAGCTACTGTGCTAAATTGGCTAATTTGTGCCATTAACTACTAATTACTAGTTAGCCACCGTACGGATTACACACGTGTGCCCGTGGCCACGATCCCGGCTAACGGTTGTGCCACGTGTTACCGGTGGCCACGCCCGCTGTTACCGGCTGTTCCACGTCGGACCCTTGGGGTACTACTGTGCACGGCACTAGACACATTTCCACCAGCGGTATGCGGTCAAGTGATTTACTCGCATCATACGACACGGCGCGCTCTGCGGGGCTCTGTGGGGGCGGTCCCGCTGGTCCTGAGCCACCCAATCGCCCCGACTAAACGACGGCGGCACACAACGCCACGGAATTCCCAGACCCTGCATTCCATCGCTCTCCCGCATCGACACCGCCCGCGGCGCTTCACCCGCATCGCCCCCTCCCCGCATTGCCTCAGCGCCTGACTGCTCCCGCCCAAGCTTCTCCCGCACCGCCCCCACCATGCATTCCCCCGGCGCCTCCCCGCATCTCCCTTCATTGCCTCAAACGCCTCCCCACTCCCGACCACCTCGCTTTGCCTCACGCCCGCATCGCTCTCCATTGCGTGAGGCCTCTATAGCCTCTCCACGCTCCGGGTCGCTCTGTCCCCGATTTGCCTCAGCTCCTCGCTCTAGGTCCCCTTCCCATTCTACCCCGCCTGTTCGCATGCCTGCTTCACCGGCGTCGCCTTCTTCTTCGCCTTCGCCACCAGCGCCCACCGCCTTGATCCCCACCGCGCGCACCTCGGCGCACAGATTTGACAGCTGATCTGCGGCTGTTAGCGCGCCTCCTCCACGGTAGCCGTGGATGGCTTGTGAAGGCGACGTCTTCTCAATTAAGGGAACAGATCGTTGAGGGTACGTGTGGGGGGCCAGTGACATACAACAGCCAAGATGTGCACTTGGAGGAACCAGTGAATTAGTCTACCATGGATTTGAAGGTATGAAGGGTCGCTTTATTTTGGCTAAGGCTGGAACAGAGTGTTCGCTTTGGACCAAGTGGTCGTAGTTTCGCATGTTTGCATCCTGCTCGATGTCCTGTCTGTAGTTTTTCATAGTCCGAAGGACTGTGCCGTTAATGTACAACAGCTGGCGGCTTCCACTTGTTAAGCTTGACAATTTCCTTACATGTTCTATCATCCAGGAGAGGTCATCGATTGAATCCTGTGCGGCTTCCCCGGCATAGTTCAAAACAGACTCTCTCGAGTCCTGGAAGAAAACATGGCTGATAAAGTTGGATCCTGATGCCGCTTCGATCTGCGCAGAAGCGACAGTTGAGAGCCCATCATTGGCCTTCCGTCGCTTTGAATGAGTGAGTGGTCCTTCGAACAGGGGAACTAATCTGTTTTCGTCTCTCCGTGACTTAATGAAAGGCGGCTGACGACCCCTAATCAATTCACGATACAACGGCAATTCCATGCCTTGAACAAGGTGTTTGCACAATAGAAACGGGTTTTGTAAGTATGCAGGGCATGAACAAGTCCATTTAACCTTATCCACATTGTAAATCCCTTTTACGGGAGTTGATGTTGCCTTTTTTCATTCCTGCACAAACGCCCGCCACCAGCTTGGTTTCTGTCGTCCATTCATCATCAATTGGTAGTCTGAGTTAAGCTTGGTCATGAGCTTCGTCTCTATGACGTACAGTAGTAAATCTGGTCTTGGCCGGTTGTATGGCAAAAGATAAAGGCGCTTTAAAACTGAGAAATGCGACTCGCACATCATTGTCGTTTTGGTGAGGAGGATGCACGACGCAAGTCGCATTCCCCAGCAATAAAACATATTTCCGTCGTACGAATTCTTGATCAAGTACGCTTTAAGCGTCTCCTCACCCTCTGGAGAAAAAAAGAGATCTATTTCTTCCCGTGCTTGCTGTTCAGAGAAAACTGTAGAGAATTCAGGGTCGAAAAAAGGATGGCGGTTAAACTGGAGACTGATCAACTCAAGTAACTTTGTCGCTCGCTCCTGGGAGATTTTAGCCTTCTTATCTCTGCGTAGACCTCCAATCTTCTGCTTGATGGCTCTTTTAAGATGCCAGAGGCACAAAGACGGGTCTATTTTATACACCCGTTTGATGGCATCCAGTTGACCAGAATCCTTATCTGAAAAGAAGAAGGTAGGTCGGAACGCCACCAACGAGTCGAACAATCCTCGGAAACATTCATATATTGTGTCCTTTCTCCGCACGTTTTCTGACGATGAAACACTGCCGGACTCAATAAAAAAGTAAGCAAGCGGAAAGCCAGCACCCAGCACTGCCCCGATCACAACAAAAAGTTCCCATGATGATGAATAAGTCTTGTACGTAGAATCAATAAATCCTTCAACTATATTGTGTTCTTGACAGAGCATATCTGCCATGCTGGTTTTGACACCGACAGCAAACGGCGAGCGTTGGTGAAAGAAAACATCGAACGTCTTGCTCTCTTGAGCATACAGTAACACAGATTCTTTAGGGTCGACAGCCTTTCGAATTGTGATGTCATTTGGTCCAATCACAGTTGGTACACCTGAGGGTACTGAATAAGCACATGTCCAGACGCCCGCAAGTTGGAGCAAATAAGAAACGGAGTACTACCCTGCCGTGCGTGCCGTAAAAAAAATTGCTTCTCCTGTTCAGATAATACATGCTTGTTCTGGGCCCTTTCGTGCAGCAAAGTATGCCTCACCGTAAGGTTGAGAGTTAAAACCTCGGTCATACGAAATAGACAACCTGCCACCACAGTCATGTAATCTTGAACTTACCTTGCAACGTTTGGCCTCCGCATTATGGCTTCTCTGACTGCATATATAGGCATGTGTCTTCACACCTTTCTTGTGCGAAACATATCGGAACCCTTCAACGTTTTCAACGACAGATTCAACTTTTGTTATAAACTCTAAGCGGTTATCCGGGTGCACAGGCTGATCGCTTGCATAACAGCATTCGATAAGATACTGCAGCTCCGTCGATGACTGTAAATTACGCCCCTGCTCCCTTGCAATAAACGCTTGCTTGTCTGCAACAAATGGAAGCCAACCCATGAAGTAGATTTTTTCGGGAACAAGGTCCATGGGGTCTTCTCTTCGACAGGTATTACAACTCGTTCGCGGCTCTCCTTTGGTGCTTAAAAACCAAGGCATCTCACGGTATGCTTTACATCTGTGACATTTCATTAGACAAAGAGCCCTTAGGTTGTCCAGGGAAGTTTCCTCTTCGCTCGCATGAAGAGCAGTAACTACTGCTAAGAAAACGTTTGCATCGATGATGATATCGAATATGAATATTACCCGTAGTATAGCCTCGAACTCGGCAGGTTGCACGACGACCAATTCACAAAGCGCTTCAGAGACGTCCTCTGGGCTGGGAAGCGTTGCTTCGAAGCACTGGTGCAAAAAAAGCTTCGCAGACCACCAGTGCATCTTGGCACTCTGCTGTGAGTTTAACTTCCCCATCCGGAAACAACTTGCTTGAAGCAGCTCGACGAGAGGAAGGTAAAGCAGCGAGAAACCCCCTCTGCAATGCGGGACGGAAGGGTGAAATTACCACCGAGAGTGGGGAGGCGCTGGCGGTTTTGGCAATGGAGCGTGTAGAGAGATGGGGAGGCGAGGGGGCCCAGCGACTCGGCCGGGTGTGAGGCGATGTGCAGGTGGATGCAGGGTGCGGGGGTGAAGCGGTGACGGGCAAAGCGGCAAAGCGAGGTGGCCGGGAGTCGGGCGCTTGAGGCGATGCGGGGAGGCGCCGGGGGAATGAAGGGGGGCGGTGCGGGCGAAGCGATGCGGGGAACAGTCAGCTGAGGCGATGCGGGGTGAAGCGTCGCGGGCGGTGTCGATGCGGGAGAGCGATGCACTGATGCAGGGTCTGGTAATTCCGTGGCGTTGTGTGCCGCCGTCGTCCAGTCGGGGCGATTGGGCGGCCCAGGACCAGCGGGACTGCCCCCATAGAGCCCCGCAGAGCGCGCCGTGTCGTATGATGCGAGTAAATCACTAGAACGAATACCGCTGGTGGAAATGTGTCTACTATGCACGGCGGCGGGCGCGTGTACGCCTGCTCGCTATAGTAGCACCGGCCCTCCTGCGCGGTTATCATCTCCCCGGGGGGTTGTGGTACAGAATTGTACTACACCCTTCACCGCGAGCGGGCAGCAAAACAAACCGGAGAAGGGTCAGTGTTGAGCCCAAGTCTGCACTGCTTCTCACGAATCGATCACTCACGTGCAATGAAACCATGAATGACTACAGACCGGCTACGGATATGGAAACACCTGCGGGAGCCCCGAAAAAACTCTTGGCTACCTTCACATCAACGATGGAGAATGAAAAAGGAAATACACATCCCAATATTCCTCGAAGAGTGGTATCGGTTAGCTTAGAGGTCGACGGGAGCTCAAGCGACGACATACCTCTGCCATATTTGCGTAGACAGAAAACTAGGCGGGCTGGAAGTGTCCAAAACGATGACGGTCCGGAGCAGACCCATGTGGCTGCACGTGGTCTACTTCATCTTTCGAGAATGCGTTGAAGAACACCAAGTATGGGCTTTGCCGGGTGCTCCGTAGTTCCCCCGCCGCTCATGAGCCATTTATCGCACAAAAATTTTGCCACGAAAATCAGGGAAAATTTACTGACTTTTGACGATTCCTAAGAACACGGAAAGTGTTCCACAATACCCCAGTGAGAAGGGTACAGTATTGAAACGCCTGACTCATCTCTTTTATTAATGCTAAAACATTCCAAGGCAAATACCAAGATGGCCATTCCCACATGCACATTGCGCAGCATAATATAGTACAAGGCTGTTCGCAAGAGACTACCAGAAGCAATCTTCCACCCATAGCAGGAGTTGTGCTTTAATTGTTGATACGTCCACACTCGGCCTCTCGCTTTCAAAAACCTCAAGAGCATTTAGAGAACTTCGAGTAAGCTGTCTTAAGTTGTCAGAATGGGGTTCACCTGTTTCACGTGCGCGTTGCAAATATACGCCTTCGATGTGGGGACAACGCATCTTAATAGTATGCAAAAGGTTTGGTATGGTTGTAGCGATGCTGTGGCATTCGGATTCATGTGTACATGTGTGCCCGTTCGTGAATATTAACCTCTTCAGGTTGACGGGAATGTTTTCCAGCATGGATGGTTTGAAAACTGTGGACCAGAAACACACAAAGTCTCGGGGCATCTGAAGTGTGACTGCGGAAGGTACTTCCGCCGATAGGTCAATCAAACGGAGAAAGTCATTCGAATATGATCGTCCAAAGTTTTGCACTCGAAGAGTCTTGAAATTGGACCCAGCTTCTCTATGAATACGACGTAGTATGGTTCGTGCCAAGGAAATGTCTAATTCTTGTCGATCATGGAATGATAGACACACTTCTTCAATCTTTCCGTAGTCAGTGTTCCCAAGTTCGAGGGATTGTGCGGTCTCGTTCAGTCTCGTAATGTTTAGTGCGCGGTAAAATGGTCGACGAAATGAACTGCCTGGTGTAGGTATGACAATGACGGCATTCGGAAACCTCAGCTCCAACCTTGCAGCTGGCGCTATGAGCGTAGAAAGACTTCTAAACAGTCTCTGAACAGCTTCTCGCGACTGGAAAGTAGATATTCGTACGTGCTTGAGCTGTGACCTGATTCCATGGGTTTTAACACCTCCATGCAACTGCGCTTTGGCAAGGGTCATCACCTCATTATCATTCAAGTAATCGATATTGACATCATCCCCTGCGACTTTTACATCTGAAAAGTCGAGGAAGGGAAGACCTAGATCCAGAGATTCCAAGATAGGACACCATTCGAGCAGATCAGTTGCTAAGAGCGCGAGGAAACCAGCATCGTAGAAAAGACCCCAGGAGTTTTGTCCTGAGCTGTACTGATTCAAATCTTCGAAGTGTAATGTCAGGGAATCCAAGCTCTTCCCCCGATGACGGAGGAACGAAACGAGACGAGATATATGGAGCTCTATAAGATTGGTAAGCTTGATTTGCCGCAAGTTGCAGTAAAGGCCCGATTCTAGATCCTCAATAGTGCCCATCGAGGGGCTCTGAATGGTTAGGGCTTGGAGGCTTAATTCTGCGGAGTAAAAGAGAGAGTACATCAACGTATCAGATGGATCTCTGGACTCCGGCAATGCCAGAGTGTGCAGATTCGGACAGTGGAGTAAAACTTCCTGTAGTATGGAGTCGTGATTTTCCCATCCTTCGCAAGGCGGAATGCGTAGCTCTTGAAGGGATTCTGCAGCTATGCGAACCATCGCTCTGATATGTTGTGTGCCCTGGTATCTCGATGGCAGGAAATGGGAGACATTTCTGCAGTCCTCAGCGTGGCTTATTTGAAAGAAATCTATTCGCACAAGGAATCTTCTCTTGAAAAGACTGAGAAGGAGAGTACAAGTTTGCGCCAGTGCAAAGGCATCACGCGCACGTTCTAGACGTGATCCACGAAGAACGGGGGCACAAGGATGAGCGTTTAGATTGTCGATCCCGCACAAGTGGCTAAACACATGTAACAGGGCGTCTTCGTGCAAACCTAAAATACCCGGACCGCTCGCTCGCATTGTGGCACGGCAGTTGTTGGTCAGTAGACACTTGTTCAGGCACGCTCCCACTTTAGATGAGTGTCGACGTCAATGCGATATGGCTCCTTCGGAGAAGTTTTTGCAAAGCAGCAAATTCAGGCCGGGTGAAGTCTTCTCTTTTCGCGTTTCGCACATATTTTGAGCCGAGTATAAAGGGCATGCATGCACTTAGTGGTGGGGCTCGAGGGCTAGGGAGAAACAATTGGTCGAGTGTAGTTCCGGCTGTGGTCAATTAGATGGATTGGCGCCGGTGGTCATCGTTATGTTTCCGTACGTCGGCGAATCTTAGAGGGGCTGTGCTGTGCGAGAGCGGGAAGGAAAATTTCCTGTGTCTTGACGACGCCACGCTATCAGGGGGGAAGCGGTTGCTTCAGTGCAATTGTGGTTGGGTCAGGAAAAAGAAGGCCACGTGTGCGGGCTAAGATGCCGGTACTGTAGCTGTCGGCGCCAGTGACGGTTACTTAAGGTGTACAATTTTATATAAATAACGGCAATCTGAAAAGGGCAAGCGCACCGGGTGGGGCACGGACACAGGCTACCACCCGGGCCATGTTGTGCCCTTCCTCCTTCGCCGCCCGAGCGGCCGCCAGTGTGCTGGAAAGGAACTGGATGACTACTGTAAGAACTTACCTTTTTCTATTTCACTGTACCGACGGTAACTGCGAACCGGGGACTATCTCCTTACAACGGTAACTTCGTTCCTTCCCCCCGCTCGCCCTACTGTACCGATGCGCTACAGTACACGCGACTCTGTCAAGACAAAATCAGGACAAAATCACCCGCTCCGAAAGCAATTGCGATCCTGTACAGTACCCTTGGGTACATTAGCACTGCATGCCAATGGGGTGTAAAATTAGCATTATGCGGCGTAGCCGATGCACAGTATCTATGACGGGCACTGCAGAGTCTACCCGATGGGTAGTCTTTTCATTTAATTTTTTATGTCATGGAAACGTTTCTTGATGTGCACCACCGCGATCTTCAGAATACATATGTAGCAAGACCTTTTTTTTTTCGGGCAGACGGTCTCCTGCTTCGCGTCAGCAGCTCAGCGCCCGTCCCTTTGCTAACCACTGCCCGGTGAGGCAAGACCCAACACGGCAACAATCTCTTCTTCCTATCTCGCACGCCTGCTTGTAAGTGCTTGCCTTCCGAGCTGCTTCCATGGCAGTCGCTCACATGCGTTTTACGTGAATGGATGAGTCTACTCCGCGCGCCTCGGTGCTCTTCGGCCGAGATGGCTCCTATGCCTTGCTAGAAGTCATCGGAAGGGGAGCGTACGGCACAGTCTACAAGGGTATATGGCGAGAAGTCGGGAGGCATGTCGCCGTCAAACGCGTCGCGAGGAGCCGTCTATCCCCGGACGAGGACAAGGCCCTTCAAACCGAAATCCAACTCTTCAAGAATCTAAAAGATACCCACATTGTCAACTACATTGAAGCTGTCGATGATCCCAATTCCGAGTATTTGGATATTGTCATGGAATTCGTCGAAGGGGGAAGTCTGCACAATATCGTCGATGCCATTCGAAGGAGCAAAGCCAGGGGGTCCAGGGTTTTCGATGAAGCAGTAGTAGCGGGTTATGTGCGCCAGGTCATCTTGGGTTTACGCTATTTGCACAAACAGGGTGTTGTACACCGAGATATAAAAGGTGCCAACATCCTCGTCACGAAGGAGAGTCACGTCAAACTTGCTGATTTTGGTGTCGCTTCTACGAAACCAGGAGCCGACATGCTTCACTCTACAAACCCTCTTGACGTCGCGGGATCTCCCTACTGGATGGCCCCCGAGATTATCAGACTCGACGGCGCCTCAACTGCCTCTGATATTTGGTCACTAGGATGCACGGTAATTGAGCTGCTCACCGGTTTCCCACCGTACTATGAACTCTCAGATATGACTGCCTTATTCCGAATCGTGTCTGATGACTGTCCACCGCTACCTCCGAACTTATCAACCGAGTGCGAGGACTTCTTGACAAAGTGCTTCAACAAAGACGTTACAGGCAGGGCAACTACCGATGAGCTTCTGCGACATCGCTGGCTTGCTCGAGAAGACGAGCCGAGCCACTCAACTGATTTCAATGCAAAACCCGAATTGGACAACGCAGAGCAACAGCCATCGTTGCGTGCTACCAGTGGAAAAAGCGGGTCTCAACGGAGCAAGCAGAGCGAATTATCTGCCAACTCGCAGGCCACACTAGGCATGTACGAAGAAGATGGCGATGTCGATTTTGATGATCTCGATTTTAGCGAAAGCGATAGAGCGGATGGGGAGACGTCCGCAGGGGACGGCTTCAACGATGGTACAGGAAACCATCTTGTTGGTGAGATAGGCTTCGCGGGAGAAGAACTTGGTGGTTCTATGGGTACTGTCGAACAAGACGCTAGTATTGCTGACGGGGGTATGCAGCGTGTGAGCATTCGCGATGATCCATTCCAGGATATAATGGACGATCCTGAGGTTGATCGAGAACGAGAACGCCTCAGAAAGCAAAAAGAGCATTGGGAACTGGTGAAAGCCCACGCAAGGGGTCTCGGCCAAGAAGACGACGTGCACATCGCTGCCTGCAGGACTCTCGTAGAGATGTTCAAGGGAAATCCGGAACAAAGGTATTATCTAATCTATGACCCAGGCCTCTTGCCTCTTCTCGAAGCACTAGAGAGTGGTACAGCTCGAAGCGGTCGCGTCATAGAAGCTATGTTGGAAGTGTCCTTGAGCTTGTTGGAAGACTCCAGTACGGAGTGTGGCACAGATAACTCCGCGGAACAATCGAAAAAGGCTGGAGCTCAGAACACGCAGATGTCGTTTTTTGGATATCCGAGAGTTTCTGATATTCGGGAAGACCTCTGTCTGAGTGGCTTCTTACCAATTATAATTAGGTACTGCCAGACTTCCTATCCGTTTTCTGTTCGGCGCCTAGCATCTCGTTTTCTTGCCAACGTGATGCGGTTGGAGCGAACACGGCATATGTTCATAGCCTGCCGAGGGTTCAAAGCTTTTGTTGACCTTTTGGAACCTGACATTGTATCTGCTGGTGAGTTGTCCACAACCGCCCTCGAAGGTATTGATATTTTATTATCCATGGAGAACCAACGACACAAGCGAGACTTTTGCCGTAGATTTGCATGGAATGGCCTTTTGGAACGAATAACAAATGGCATTACTTTCAACATGGACACACTACACACGCTTGCTACTATGCGGAATAGAGACGATGAACTGAGAACTCAGGTGCAGGGGCATGTTATCAAACTCGCTGCTCTTCTGCAAACATTCGGAGCGCGTGCAGATCCGTTCGTGAAGGAGCAGATGATCAGGCAATCTGTTCTCGATCCGATAGTAAGGCAGATCGCGAATCGAGATGTCCCTGTAGCTGCCGCTCTATCCATTCTATGCAGCGTTCGGGATCTATCTCGGGACCCGCAGACTCACCATGCCCTTCAACAAGCGTCAGCAATAGGCACGCTCGTGGAGTACCTTTCCATCGATCAGGATAGCGTGGTCGGGACGAAAGCAAGGCATTTCATCATTTCTTCGTTGCACAACTTGTGCATTGTCTCAGCAGGGCGGCAAGAGGCGGCAGCCCAAGCTGGACTGGTACCGCATCTACAGCGATACATTCGGTCACAGGATGTGAACTTGAAGTCTCTCTGCATTGACATGTATTCAGGGCTTGCTTGTGCTGGGCCACTGACGCGCGTGGAGCTGTCAAAGCACAACGGTGTGGAATTTTATATCGACTTGATGATATTGCTCTCAGCCCCAGGAACAGTGCGAAAATGGCAAGCACGTGTGTTGCAGTCTTTATCCGAATGGCTGGATGACGCTTCACAATCACAGGCGGTGGAGAAGTGCCTCGTATTGGAGTCCAATTGCACAAGGATGTGTCAGACGCTTGCTCAGCTGCGTATCAAGGACGTCGTTGGTGTCCTTGAACCGTATCTCAAAATGATAACAATTTCGGACAAGGTGAACACAGTATTTGGGGCGCGGCTGGAACTTGTCTCATCAATGGTGCGGTGGTTGGAGGAGATGTATCACGAGAATTCGGGGTCAGCAGGGGGCGGGCCACGGAGCCGGTTGCTGCTCTTGCGGACACTGTTGGCGCACGCGCAAAGATGGGAAAAAGGTTCTCGCATCGCTGGTTTGATAGCGGCACTGCGGTTGCTTCTTACTGAAGTGGTGCTAGTGAGTGACGAGGCAATTACGGTTCGGGAGCAAGCTAGTCTTTTGCTATCAGCGCTAGATAGGACCGGGGTAGGGTTATGTTGAGCGAGACAGGAAGGATAGTTACGGGCAGTTTACTTTCTTGTTAGTGGCATCTCGGTATATAACATGTTGGTAGGAAGCGGGCGAGGGCTTTGTTGAGTATGTACATTGATCTAAATAACAGCTGATAAAACGACGAAGACCAAGCCCTTTGGAACATAAACAGACGTATGGTGATGTGCAATTTCCGCCACACTTCACATTGTGGCTTTCCGCCGGTCTTGGTACTGTCGGGCGTAAAACCTAATGTCCGGCTCTGTGGTGCGGAAGTTAGCGCCGAAAAGCTGGTTGTGTATTCTGGCGTCGGCATGCCATTGCCTCTCCACATCCGGGCCGACTCTAAACGGGGTATGGTCTGTTGTAAAACATGGGTCTGGGGCGGGGCAGCGGCGGACGGCTTCGTCAACGCGTTCGAACTCGGGATGATATTCAGCTGACTTGCTAGTGATTGCGGGCGGGCCTAACAGGTTGGTCGAATGTAAGGCTCCAAGGTTGTTGACATCACGTTTGTGGTGATCGGGATAATCATCTTCTTCTTCTATGCTTACATCAAATCCCGCATCCCAGGCGACCGGTAGATTTTCGAAGTCGACAGCGGAGAGGTCGACGTCAGAAAAGCCGGCGCCGGTCGAGTCGACGTCCTCTGCAAACCTGGAGAGCGAGAGGCTGTGGACGAGCTTTGGCGGGGTGTCGAGTTGGGCGTCGCTTTGATTGGAAACCGGAGAGAGGGACGGGGCGGCCAGCGGGAGCGGGGGCGGAAGCGGAGACTTGTGTGGAGGGGGGCTTGGGGAGCGGCGTTTCCGGGGGGAGCGGCGCAGTGGCATACCGCAAAAGTAAAAGGCGGTCCGCATGACGCGGCAGGGGCGGCGGGAGAGGCGTGTGGGGCCCGTTGTTGCGATGAAGGGGGGAGGGGAGCGGTGAGAAGACGGGAAGAAAGGGAACGGTTCTGCAAGAGAAGTGGGTGAGGGGAGAGAGGAAATTGAGGAAAGGGAAGATGCAGTGCGGGTGAGCGCTGGCGGAAGTGACACGGGTAGGGGGCAGGAGGGGTACAAGATAAGGACAAGCGAGAGGGCTGAAGTATGGGCCGCCGTGTGGATTGGTTTCATTGGTTTTCGCCGGCACCACCTGAGGGACGCTGACGGTAGAAATTGTGATCATTTTAGTGAGCTGCCGCTGCGAGGAGCGCTTGGCCTAAAATTGCGTTCATGACATGCAGCCGGGGCTCCTGTTCCCATTGGCCGTGTTTGCACAGCTATCATCTTCTACGGCCAATCACACCCCGTCCCGGCCCAATCTTGGTAGCAAGTTCTAGCAATTGTAACTCTGGCTTCCTCTCAAGGCAATTCTCTCCCTTGCTGTAATGCATGTCAGCGTCTCTCGTACCGTCCGGGGATCGCCGCATGGTCCCCTTTTCCTGCCATGCATTACAGCATTGCATCCTCTCAGCTCCCACTCCACCCCAATACTCCCCCCCACCACACCAGTGGGTCCGCATTTCTTTTCTAGCCCCATTGCTGTTCCGTCCATCCTTCTATGCCTGTGTTCTTCTCTCCTTGACCTCAACATTATACTCTTCTATCGAGGGACGAAACCATTCATCTCCCTGCTACTACGTAACTATTTCTTTCTGATCACATCCACAGACGTATCCATTCTTGTACGCATCGTCGTCGCAACTATTCACCGAGACACCAATTACTTACATTATTGTTTTCTAGTACACCACTCAAAAAATCAATGCAAGCAGCCATCTCAAGTTGAACCAAGTGCATATCGCTGTCGTGATGCGCAACATCATAGACAGCTTGCTGTGTTGACGCATTCGTTCAGCAACTGTATGTTAAACTATTCGTATTTGTAGAGCGCTTCATTCCTAAAGCACAGTTTTCTTCCATTCCTCTGGCATCCAACGCCTTTTTTCTATTTCGCTATCTCGTAGAGGAATCATGTTGTATATGACTTTCTTCTTGTGGGTTGGAGGTGCGGATAGGCATTTCTGCCTGCCAGGACAGTATATCTCCATAATATTTCGCAAAAATATGAATATCATAACTAATGACAACATAAATTTTCTTTGTTTTGTTCGGCTACTGCCAAAATAGATTTTTTTTTGCAAGAATAGAGGTTCTTTGGTGTTGTATGGACGAAAAATTGTATCAATTTGATGTACGACGTGGCACCAGCACTGCAGGTATCTGCACCAGCTTTAATGAAGAATTGTTCCAGAGAAAAGGGGGCGTCCAAGGTGGAGAAGACGGAAAGAGGCGGAGAAAGAAGAAGAAAAGACCCTCTTCGCTTCGGTAGGAACTTGTCCATGAACAATTTCCGCACCGCGTCCAGATTTGCCATAGAACAGAGTCAATCAGGCGCTTGCTCGTCCCTCATCGACACGATGCCCATCCCCCCTATGAGGACAACAAAGAGACAATGAGTCATGGACTTCACACGTGGTAAGGCGCGGAATGAATATGGGATGCAGTATTTCATTTCATTGGCTGTGTAGCGCTGACCGCATGTTTTTCTAATACTGGCGAGCCATGATCCAATTCACGAGCCTACTGTACTTCACTCGACTGCAAGCCCTTCCGCCCTCGCAAATACTTTGTCCCGTCCTTTAATCTTTTGCTCTGACGGGTGGAGATGCTCTAATCGTAGTTGTGGATTCAACTCTAGTTCCACTCCCTGTACAGCTCTAGTCCACGCTCGACCACTAGAACGTTCACATTCTTTCTCGTCATAGCATGTATGAAATCCACTAACATTTTCGGAGCATTGCCTCTTCAATCTCCAGAGAGATCAGGTCACACGGCCCTGAGGGAGTATATCTTTCATCGCTCGAATGATGAGACAGATCTTTCCCTGGCTGCCACAATATATATGCACAATACATATGATTGAACTTTCGATAAAAGACATATATATAGATACTGTACAGTACTTACTCAACAGCCATTCACCCAGAAAGGAAGTGTCCTTTCTGTCTCGCTTCAACTTCGCTGAAAGAAAGCGTCGTGCTTACAAAGAGTGCTTACATTCTCCCACCCTGCCGTTGCAGGGTTCCACATATTAATTTCCTAGTCATGCCAACATCTCTGGCAGGGGAATATTCTGTGCATACCCTACCATAAGTCCCTGAGTAAAAATCCAGACAAGGCTCCCTAGAAATTTCAGCCAGGGAACACGTCACAGCGATTATGTGGACGTTTGTTTGAGTGACCCTAGGGATCTTTCTATATCCCTGTTTAGCGGTCATCGTGAATAGAAGACGGATTTCTTCACTCGTGACAAATACGTGCATACAGAAAGACACCGTGCATACAGAAAGACACTCACAGAAAGACAATACTTTATTATGTCTCTCCGCAGCATTCTACGACTGCGGCAACCTGCAACATAGTATGAATATTTATCTTTAGTTTCATTTCCTTCTTCTTTCATCTATATCTGCAAAAGAAACTCACAGCGAGTGTCAAGCTTGCGCGGGCAGTTTGTCCAGAAATGGCCGTTAATTTTAAACGAATCCTTTCCACTTCATCCTAGATCAGGACAATTAGAAAACGACAACACTAGAGAGTCAACAGAATTTAGTCACGATTATCTCATTTCACGCAACTCTATATCTCAGGAAATAGAAGAGGTGCAAGTGGCTCCGCGTCCCGAGTACCTCTCGCTTTCAAAGTGGAACGGAGTGTAGAAGTGTATGGAAACTGGGTTGTTTGTTTTCCGAAAGTAACTTCGAACTCACTGGTGCTATGGTTTTACGCCCTACTCATCTGCATCTAGAACTTTCAATATGGAAGATGATTGAGGAGGAATTTCCACTGACTAGATGAAAACCCATAACCAACTAATCATATATCTTTGTATTGAGTCATGTTCTTCATGGACCATCGCGAAGTAGGGCATCTCCGCTGCGTAAACCAGAAAATGTCGAGTGACTTTATTTCTGTGACGTAGGCGGAAACGATAAAATGGTTCAATGCACTAGAAGGACGGAAAAGCTATTAATAAGATGTGTGCTTCTGTCCCCAACAGGCTGAATCAATTTCATAGTGGTCTCTGCTCGTGTCGGTTGAAGACTATAGGCACCGGGGCCATTTTCAGGCAGTTACCAGCTGTCGAAACGGGGCCAGAAAGGATTGAGAAAAACTTATGTAAAATTTCAAAGCGATTGGTGCAAATCCTAGCCCTTGGAATGAACCAACTGCTAGCACACCGAGTTACTCCAAGTCATGTTGATCACATCAATTTTTATTATGAAGCCTCTATTTTGAGTGCGGTCACATATACTGTACATACAGTATTTTTGTGAATCACGCTGATATGTGATTTCACATTAGCCATATAAATTACTGTGATGAACATTAATATGTGTATTTCACATTTATTTTGTGTTCACCATACTTGCAGTAACTTGGTGCAGTGCAATATTTGCCGCACGCTCTATTCACTTTGACAGCCAGGAGAATCTTTAACTATGTCTGAGCGTATTGATTCGGTTGTAAGTCGTTAAGTCCAACAAAGATCGTCCCACGGAGGGTAGGGTCAGGTTCGTGGCTGTTTGTTCAGATAGTTAGTCCCATCGCCGCGGCTCCGTGCTGTAGTGACAGACATCTAAACCTCGTTTCGAAACCTCTTTGTACATTCAACTTCATCTCATGCGCCCTAAAACTGCACATATTCATTCCATTTGTAGATCTCTTGATATGTTATCTAGCGTCCCTGCTCTATGAGGGCCGCTTTTTGACAATCCGAAGGCCACATATCGAGAAAAGATGCTTGTAGCTGTCCCAGACAAAATCTCGAGAAGTGAACTGTGCTGTCGCAACGTATGGAAACTCGATCAAAACGCCTCCGGTAGGGTTCTCGCTCGGGGGGTCCCCGCTTTTACCGCTCCTGTGATTAAAACGTGTTGCGAAGCATAAAACGGCGATTGGGGAAGTCTTGCCACTCCAAAAGTTGCTCATGCAGGAAAAAGATTCTTCACGTCTCACGTACGCAATGTAATCAGTGGTTCTTGCACGTCCTTTCCCACACGCAGAGTCTCTTCGCAGGAAGTTCTTCTCTTCGGCTCACGAGATCGAAGCAAAATGAATGGCTTCTTACGCACGCAATTCCTTATGCAACAGGACAAAGCATTAAACCAGACGAGCATTTAATGAAAAAAGTGTGCAATAAGATAGTAGAATAGAAGGAAACCCGATCTGCACGCATAAACAGCAGATTGGAGACTGTTCGTTTTGTTTTGGAAGTGTTACAATAGGATGACAAAAATACCTGCCAAACAGACAGAGATTTTATGTTATGGTGAACTTGAGCAAGCCTCACAATTTTCTGATCCACAGAAAAGGAGTCTGGAACGTCATCGATGAGACATTGACGTTTTGCACCGCATTCAGTAGCGGAAGGGGTTGGATGAAGCGCCGACTACAAACGC